TGGGCTAGACAGGAAGCGAGACCAATCAGGACTCTAGGCTGCTCGCACGTGTTTTATGCGTCACTGGTTCGATCGATAATTCGCTGCTCTCTGATTGGAGGTATCGTTGCGTTATACAATAAACAGAGCACACAGGTTCACAAGTTATAACACGGTCCCAAGCCTGGATAAATGAGGAGGGTTGAGCATGGGGTTAGCGGCCCCATCCCGTAGAAAACTAACTCGCTAAAAAACGCTAACCAGAAGAAAAATTACCTCTTATTAATATCGTGTTTAATATTAATAACTGTGGCCACTTTCACTGAAGAAGTTTGGCATTTGAACTAACAATTTTTTCCGATGACTTAGTTATAAATCCACGATTAATGTATGACATACATAAATAAGTGAATTAAACAATTATTGATAAGTCATGCTACCGGTATCCCTGTATTGTCTTCCTATTTGGTTCCTATAACCTCGATTACTTCTGGACATCAACTGAAACACTAGAGAGTAAGGAGGGAGTTTCAAGTAAGAGTTTTATTCCCAAGGTAATTCCTGGATAGAGTTGCACACGACCTTGAACTTCTGAAGCCATACCAAATATAGTAGTAATATGGTTAATTGTCCAATGAGACCCGTGATTCCAGACTTTACATTTTCTAGATATTTCTCTAAAGTTTCTGTTCAGTGCTGATGGGATGAAATGTTTCTTGGCGTTTCTGTGTCACTAGAAATTTGACTAGGAAGTCTTCCAACTGTTAGCTGTCAAAACATTGATGAACTTTTACATCAATCACGGTCTAAATATTTACCTTATCTTGGTCAATATAATACAGGAATTATGGACTTATAATTGTTGATCCGAGAAGCAGAAGTTATCAAAAACGGTTGTCCATTCAATTATTTTTTTGTTTTATGCCTTTTTATATAGTCTTATCCTGGAACTTCTACACATCATTGTGTAAAACACAATCAGCTTCATATTATTGTTTATATACTGATGATTTAATAATTCAATAGGCAAATCAACTTCACAAGAATGATCAGCACCTTATTTAGTCAGAGGGGGGTTTTGTGGATATATTATAGTAATTTAGTAGATGAATTCCAGTGCTTCAAAGTTTTCCATGATGATCTAGCTTCAATTGACTCATGAATTCATCTACTAAATTATCTTAGTTAGTGTTTTTGATGAACTCCAATAAAGATATTTAAAAAAGACAGATTTTAGCCAGCAGTTGGATCCAGGACATATGTTTCATTCCATTTGAGACTTATCAGCTGCATGTACCTGCATCAACAAGAGTACTTACATTTTCATTTTGTTGCAACCTAATTATATTAATGTAGTAGATCGTATTTATTTGATTGTCTTTAAGAAAATAATTCCTCAAATTTATAAGGAAGAAAACCGAATCAAAATGATATCAAACACATTCTGATAATAACAATCACCTGCTCACTAGTGACTGACTTCAGGAGACACTTCTGGAGTTCTAGTGAGAAGTCGTTACCAGTGGAGTTCAACCAGGTCTGTTGTGAGATAGGAACTCACTGAAGACAATGGTGTACGGTAGTGCAACTTCGTGGATTGGTTGAAGTTAGACATTAACACCGTTGGATGCCGGCTCAGTGGTCTAATGGTTGAGTGCTCGCGCGCGAAGCCAGTAGGTCCTGGGTTCGAGCCCTGGGTGGTGCGGGGTCGTGGATGCGCACTGCTGAGGAGTCCCATACTAGAACGAAACGGCCGTCCAGTGCTTCCAGGTTTTCAATGGTGGTCTAGCTTCAACTGACTCATGAGTTCAATCTGTGAAAATTTCTAAAAATCTCCACAAAACACATTCTGATGATATCAATATGATTAGTTAATATTGAATGATATATACATATAGTCCATGCATATTACAAATACAGTTTGTTTTTCTAACTTATTGTTGACACTTTTTTTTTAACCATCATCCATTCTCTTATTAACCTCAAACAAATACAGAAGTCTATAGTGTTGATAACTAATTCTGACCTTTATTTATTGTATGAGTGTGTATGTGAATTCTCATTAAATCGATTTTAAACTTCATCCTTTCCAACTTCGTCCCGCATACACATGTTTCTTTCAATCGTTGTGGAAATTCATGAATAATCTAGTGAATGGTGTTTCGTGTTGTGTGTTTTTTTTCTGTGTATATGTGATATATAAAGTTCTGTAGACAATGACCACACATACTAATGTACATGTGAATATCTAAATAAAGAAAAATGATGCTGGTGCTAGCGAACAACAAATAACCTTAACCTCTGACTAAGTGTTCATCTAAGATACATATTAATATGACCTTAATGTTTACATGCATAACATTGTTGTGTCGTAAACGGTCCACTTTATAGGATTGACCAGCATGTTTGTTTGATGTTCTACGTGTATATACATTATAATGTTTGTGTAACAGGATGTGTGTAATGTATACAATGGATAAGTTTACTGTAAGAAAAGACAGAAAGTAAATAACTCTGTTACCATGTGAATACAACTTGCTTAAATTGATGATACATTCTCAGTACTGGTTGACATCAGTGATTGAAATGTAATCAGATAAAATACTGGAATTAATAATCGTTTACATGTATGTGCTTATGAACTTAGTGCCTGAACTATTGTAAAAATAAAAGAAATAAAACATGTTGCGCTAATCATCTTTGACGTGTATAATGAATCGATTTAATATCATAAAATAATTGAGTCAATAGTTGCAGTAATTGAAGCGGTGCCCTAGTAGTTAAGGTGTTTCACGTTTAGCCACTAAGTTCAAATTTTGAACCTTGCTTCATTTACACTTCCGTTTGGGCGAATGAGTAGTATGATTAACCCTCACACTTCGAGTTTAGCTTACACCCAAGCACCTAATGAATGAGTTGATTTTTAAAAAGCTATACTGAACAAAATGCCATAGATATTCAATACAGCTACCTCAATTAACAAATGTTGAAAATGTTGACGCAAGGAATTGCACATCATCTTTTTGTCGCTAGGACTCAACTTTGATTAGTATGGTTGTAAAACCAAAATTACTAACAAAAAGTTGTACGTAATCGGCACCCAACAGCTGTTCCTTAAGTTCTGTGTTATCTTTCCCAACTAGACAAAATCACTATTAAGTCAGTTTCTTGTTCAGGTCTCTCAATAATATATATCTTTCCACGATGGAAGTAACCAGTAAGTGACAACTAGCCACATACCTATAACAACATTCATGCTAATCTAAACTGGTGAGTGATATGAAGAAATTCAAAGTGAGAATAAATATCTTTTTAAAGAACATTGAGTTGGTTTTTATTTTTGTTCGTGCAAATTCCCATATTTACTATTTCCTAAAATGTCAAAGCGTTTGTGTAATATTGGTATCAATGACGAGGTTGGACTTGATAGTTTCAAGTACATTGAGAATCGGATAGAATATTAATAATAAGTGTATTTCTTGCTATATGCCAACGAGTAGAAAAATTTACATTTCTGACGTTTCGTAACTTAATACAAGCCGCTTTTTCAATGTAAATAAACAACCAAATTAAATTAACACAAGTTTAAATAGTACAAAGGAAAGTAATGTTTTCCCACTCCTGATTTGACCATCCTGATTACTTCGACCATTGATGGAGTGAAATCTATAAGAAGGTTTGTGTGTGCTGCTTCGATGTCCGGTGGTTTTAATGGGACGGATTTATCCAAGAGTTCCTCAAAGTGTTCTACCTACCTATCTCACTGCTCTTGAGTTTCAGTGACTGGCTTGCCTTATTTTTATTTAACTGGTCTTTCTGGTCTACTATATTTTCCATTCAGTTGCTTCGGTGTATTATATAAGTGTCTCATGTTTCCTTCTCTTAAAGCTTTTTCCGCTGTAGCTGCAAGATCTTCCACGCATTTCTGCTTGTCAGGTCTAATGCTTTTCTTTGCCCACTTATTTGCTTTTATGTATTCTTCCTGTTCCTTGACTTCTCTGCTCTTGTTCAAATGTTGTTGATCACTGTCTTTTTATTTATTCGTTGGTGCGTCTTTCCTAATATGTCTATTGAGTTTCACCTTATATATTGGTGCTTGTTTCGGTTCATTACGTTGTGGTATGTTGCAGTTATCGCTCCGTTAATCCGTCCTCAATTGTTCTGCACACTAGTTTCCTCTTTTTAGAGTATAACTTGTGAGGCCTGGAATCTGTTGCTAAGACCTATCTTAAATTCTTTGAGTTTGTTAGTATCTCGAAAGAAGACTGTATTAAACATATGAGATGCTGTTTCTACGGTTGTTCAGTGCTTCTTTAGCTTCGGTTTCATCTGTATATATGATCGATATGATTCTCTGTAGTGTCGTTCGATGTAGCCCATTTAACTTTGTACGTGTTTGTAAGGGAATATAGTGCCACCCATAACCTTTTTGAAGGGATATAAATTTGAAAAGCTCTCACCATTTTAGTTTTTCCTCCCAGTTATTCGATGTCATTCCATGATATATCCATACCCACAGTACTTGTGAATGATGATCCTTCAACTTGTAGGGCAGAGTTTAAATGGTCTATTTCGGTTAGCGTTTTTTAGCAAGGTAGTTTTCTAGGCGATGGGCTTGTTGACACCATGGTCACCCCTCCTCCTTTATCGGGAATTCGGAACGGCAATAAACCTAGGAGTACAGGTGAAGTTACGGTAAAATGGAAACCTGTCAACATACCGTGCCAGTAAACCGTTTTCTACTGTAGTGAGAAAAATGTCAGTCAATATGGGACGTAGTGGTGAACCTATGGTGACATCAAATGTTTGTTTAGAAATTTCACCGTTGAATTTTATATACATAGTGCATTTTATTGATAATTTCTGGATGATACCCACAATGATAGTAGTATCTATTTTTGGAACCTAATGGGAATTAATTGAGCAGACTATTTTGCGTTCATATATCTGTACTTTATTTAGATAACTAAAATGACTATTATTTAAAGCAATTACTTTATATATTTTTAAACTTTATTCAGCTACAATCCGTCGACGATTCAATAAACCAGCCGCAGCTGTACGTGCTCGTATGGCACAGAAATGTAAAGATGAACGACGTTTTGGTCGGATACCTAATTCCAATGGAAATTCATGTATAGATGGAAATTCTGATTGTAATAATACACCATCACCAGTTGCTGCTATTTCATCTAGTCGATCAGGTACAAGAAAAACTCGTAAACGACCAGCTAATTCAACATCAACATCATCATGTTCATCTCATTCATTAAATGGTATAAAACAACCATGTACACCAAATTATAATATTTATCAAATGAATATTACCAATGATGATTGTTGTTCATCAACAACAGATTCTAATCAACTTCCACCGATAAATTTATCACCTAATGGTATGAGTTTAAGTGGTATCGGTGATGATGTCAATGGAGAATATGATTGTATGCTACAAACATCTTTGGATGATTCATTTACATTATTAGATCAATCTGATGTTGTGAACTATCCTCAAATTTATCCGCTTGTTAATCATATCACAACAATCCCATCATTGTCATCATCATCACCAATAATTACAATGACTAATGGAGTAAATAATATCAATGGTTCATGTAATCTATCTAATACATCGTGTATATCAATATTTTCCAATGATCCATAGGCACACATTTTATGGTTACTATGTAAATGGATTTCTTCTTTTTTTTTAAAAAAAAATTATAATACTTGATTCAAATTGTCTACTTGTATGTGAATGTGAGAAAATAAGCAAATCATCATCATCATCATCAACAACAACAACAACTAATCAACTAACAGTTACCCCCTACATACAGTTAGTTACCGGGTAATATTATTCTTTCAATTTCTTCATCTGTAATTCGGTTGTGCTGTTGTTATCATTAGCCTTCCATTTTCATTTTATTTATTTCTTTATATTTTTCTAAATGTATTTTTATTGAATCATCATAAGTAAATAAGTGATGTGTTTTTTTTATTCAGATGTCAGAGAGATAAAGAGAAAAAGGTAGAGGAGATAAGAGTAGGTACCTTTTGAAGATGAATTCCGAAATCAATGCCTACAAGAACAGTAGTTATGGTTGTTGTTGTTGCTGTCTGAAATAATACTTACTATAAAATCTACAATATATTTTTGATATTTTCTATCAATTATTCAATCGAATTATTTCATTTAGTTATTTCGAATATATATTAGATGAATATGTCATTCACACTATTGTGCCTAATTCTCAATTTGACCCATTCTTTCTCTCCATGTGCGTGCACGTGTGTGTGTGCGCGTGCACATATGTGCGTGCGTGCGTGTGTAACTTCCCTTTTTTGTATAAATCATATTTGGATTATTATTATTATTATTCATTATTGTAATGTGTTAATATGGATTCATTAAGCAGTAAAAAAAGGTGGTTACTAATGCTCACCATGATCCGGTCATTGTTTATTTTGATATCTAAAACAAAAAAAAGAAAAATGATCTATTCATTTCATGGTCTTCCTTTCAATTTTTCATTTTGTTTTATTCATTTTATTCTGGTTTACTTTTTAAAATAAAACGTTTTTATTTTGTTTCAATGTTAAACGACTAGTTATTGGTCACATATGTTGTGTGGGGTTTTTTTTGGTGTTGATGTTGTTGTTGTTGGTTGGTTGGTGGTGGTGCTGGTGATAATTGTGTTATTGTTCTGTTCTCCTTTTTTTTATTCAACATCATCAAAGTTCATTCCTTTTTCAGTGATCTTGTTAATCATCATCATCATAATAATAATAAAGCTCAATAGTAAAATAGGACAATATAACTGTTTACTTTAATTAAATAGTATGAATACTGATTATTATTATTGATCATTACAGGATGTTTTATTTTGTTTTTCGGGCCTTTTCTTTGTCATTTATATATGAGTTAATGGTTTCAACGACTGCATCTTTGTGCTAATGTGGTGTGGCAACTCGAACTGATGTACGTACGTACGAAGTTCTACGTTGTTACTGACTGACTGAATTAATGGTTTGTTTGTTTTTTTTCTTTTCATGTCTATCAAATATCCAATTGAATGAATGTATGAAGTTATTCAAATATTCAATTGCATAACCATCATTATTTTAAACAAAGTATATCATTATAATGTACACAAATGTATATGCAATAGGTGTGATATATATACACTTTCTTAATCCTTCTATCATTGAATCTATCCACCATTCTCTTCTATTTTTAATTGTAATCATTATGATGAATAGTTCTGGTTAGCGTTTTTATTTTCTTCTTTTTAACGAGTTAGTTTTCTACAAGATGAGATCGCTAACCCCATGCTCAATTCTTCTCTTTTATCCGGGCTTGGGACTGATAGTAACACTCTAGAAAAGCTATAGATGGACTTCATTATAAATATCCTATCTATTTATTACATAACATAATTATCTCAATTATTGTTATAACAATATTAACATTCCTACTTTTAATGAATTCAACAACAACTAAAAGAAATTGTCTAACTTCTTCTTCTTATTCTTCTTTTGTATTTTTGATCTCTCAATGTTTTTTCTTATTGTTTTGTTATTTAAATTGGGTTTTATTTCATTATTATGCTTGTTATTTTCCGTTAAACTGATGTTACTGGGTCATCTGATGTTGTTTATTCATGTTCAACAAATTGCTTATTATTATTATTATTATTATTATTATTATTATTATTATTATTATTATTATACTTGTAAATCTATCTACTAAAGTATTATGCATTCCCTTGCCCCACCCCCCACTCCGCCTCCAATTTCATTCTTCATTGATCGTCACTAGGCGTCTGTCATCTCCTATATGAGTTTCTTTGATTATGTAACTTTGATGAATCCGGTGCATCTTCTATAAAATATCAAATACAATTGCTTTATTTAAACAAATACTGCAATTATTATTATTATTATTTGTAATTTGTGTTTTTTATTCAATTATTGTCTCCTTTTGTTTTCTCTTCAAGTAAATCTGCTCATTTGATTTATTGATATAATTTGATCGTTCTTTTTTTCTCTTCAATTTAATTTATTATTGTATATCATTCAATAGTTGCCTTCAATTTATAATCAATTACCTAATTCCCCTTATCCTCGGACTATACTCCTCCATAAGGAGGAACAGGCATAAGTAAAGTAAGTAAGTAAGTAAGTCCTCTTATCCTACATATATATATTTAACTATCTATGCATACAATGTGTATTTGTTTAATTTTTATGTAAGTCAATGTGAATTGATGAAAGTTATTCATTACACACATACATACACACACACACACACAAACAAACAAAACAATTACATCCCAATTGATAAAACTAAACATTGAAACAAACATTCTTGTATTTCACTGTTGTTGTTACTATGGTTGTTGTTTTATTATTATTATTATTAATTTATACATAAATGTCGGTCTACATCCCTTTTTTCATGGATCAACAAAGAACGAATATGCGCGTCTCTTAAAAAAAAATTGTTTATTATTAATTACAATAATAATGAAATTTTATTTTGTAATGTTTACTTTTATTATTACTGAGTTAATGATGTAAGATCTGTGTTTTATCTTTCGAGCTGGTATGTAGCCAATCTAGCGATGATTACATTATAAAGTCTACAGTGGATATTTTAAGTAAAGACGGATAGTGACTAACAGTGGTATCTAAGACGCATGTTTCGTCTTATTTAGGACTCATCAGCTGGATGTACCTGTATCCCAGAGTTGACATTCACCCTGGAACCCGAACCCAGTGCCGTTCGCTTCAAACGCTATCGCGTTATCCACTAAGCTACTGAGTCCTGATAGCTACCTGCTTGTGCAATGGGGTGAAGTTTAAATTCATTTAGTACTATTTGCATGTATCTTCCCATTGTTGTTTAGAAACTGAGATTAATCAGTCTGTTGTTGGTATATGTGCATCATGTGCAGACTGCCACGATATTGCCCCAAGTCACAAGCTTTTTCAGTTGTTACAAAGTAGAATAACTAGTTAGTAAGATATAGGTGATCTTATATGGCGAAAATAATTTGATTTAAATTCATGGATTGTACTTATCATAGAATGTTCCTAGTCAGGTCATTGGTGTGGACTGTTATCATGTCCCACAATAGGATGAAGCAACTGATCAGTTCTCTGTGGTTTCCATTAATACTTCAATTGGGATCATAGAAAATTAATTTCTTATTTCTATGGGGCCATTGCGTAGAAGAGAATTTTAATTTATTTAGCTTAAAAAAACAATAATCAGTATAGGGTTGTAGGAATTATTAAGTTTTTGATTGGGATCATGAACCGATTGATGTTAGACTACCGTTGAAAATCTGAAAGCACTGAACGGACGTTTCATCTTGTTTTGAGACTCCTTAGCAGTACGCGTCCATGATCCCACTTCGCGAGATTCCAACCCACGGCCTTGAGTCTCGCACACGAACGCTTAACCTCTAGACCACTCAGCTGGCATTCAAAGATGTTAACTTCTACTACCAATCAATCCACGAAATTGCGCGTCCATCTCCTATTATATTGAGTTGGATACCTGTCACGGCTTCCCGCGAGCGGGGTCGTTGATGCGCACTGCTGAGGAGTCCCACAATGGGACGAAACGGCCGTCCAGTGCTTCCAGGTTTTCAATGGTGGTCTAACATCAATCCGTTCGTGATCTCAATCAGACACTTAATAATCTCCACAACCCTACCCTGATAATATTTAAATTATCATACTTCGCCAAGAATCTTCAGTGCTAATTTATCTGATTATGACTGATCAATAAAGTCGAGTTTCCCAACAAAAAAACCATCTCTTATGCTAAAGAGATTCGGAGTGATCTGTGAAAAAATCGGTCCGTCAATTTCACTTAGAGAATCTGAGGGAAGTTTCAATATGAATCGTATAAGTTCTAGATTACAGTATCAATGTTTCACATCATTTATTACCATCTTCAACGCACATTCCAACTTTGACGATAAACTCCCATATCTGATAAATTACCATGAAATAACTGACACAATCTTTAGAAAATCTAACAAACAATTGTTGATTTCAAGTTATTACGTCATTCTTCTAATTGGGAATCTTAGGATTGACGTACGTGAGTAGAACTTATATTGAATAAACAATTTTTCTGAAGAATAGACTTCTCACAGCACATACGCACACATTACATATGAATAATTGTAAGTCTAGGTATTCTAGTTCCATATCACAGATACAAAAAAATCAACATTAGAAACTTTTCAATTACTTGAGAAATAACTTTAAATTACTTATAAGTAGATAGTATATTAGTTTAAAATCTAGTCATTCGGTCAGCAACAACAACGTAGATCTTCGTACTTACGTACATCAGTTCGAGTTGCCACACCACATTAGCACAGAGATGCAGTTGTCCATTCAAGTCCCGTAGTGGTAGAGGTAGTAAGAGTATAAGCAATAATCGGAAACACTAGGGTTTGGAGATGTTATTTAAAGAGTATAATCCAGTGAAATAAATTTGGAAAGAGGAAACAAGGAGCATGAAGAATTCAGAAGATTAGAATTTAGGAGATCACAAGAAGTGGATGCACTTGCACCATTGCAAACGATCTTGAGCCATGTCATTCAGGGTCTCTAACCATCGGTTGCTATCATCTCGCGGATCCCAACCACGTAGTCTACACCTACCAACATGACTCAGTCTACTTGTCAGTGACTTCATGGACTTGTGCCATGTTTTGGTGTGGTCGCTCCTAGCCTTATCCCAACCTACTCCTACACCATAAAACATCGCATGTCGAGGCATTCAGTGGTTGGGCATACGTAACACTTGTCCCAGCCATCTCAACTGATGAAGTTTCACTACTTCATCAGTTGATTGGCCATCCTCCTCATGATTTAATTATATTTATTGTTTAAAATATAATTAAATCATAATAAATGTTGTATAATCTAATGAATTAAAAATAAGATAAGTCGATTATGGTTTCAGTTTTAAGTAATTGGTTCCAACAACCCCTTAGATTTAAGGTTCCAACTATCTAGTTAATATCTATCTATAAAACATATTTACAAACTTTGAAGGAACACTTGTAAAAACTATTAGAATAACATAAATAATGGTGATAAATATTGTTGTGTATAGAGAAGTTCAATATTTGACAAGTACAATTCAATACGACCGAGTGCACTAGTATTCATATTGCCTATCAAAGTATAAATTGCCTACATGATAAACACCGAATTCATAGTAGTTAATTCTGTGGAGGTGATATATAAAAGAAAGATTGCACATAAGAATTAGTTCAGAGAAAGATATGTAGTAATTTTAATCTCAAGGTTTAAGGTAAGAGAGAGTGTATACACCTACACCATTTTGGTCGATTCTGAGTAATGTCACGCAGTCTCCAACCAGCAAGTCCATGAGAATTCAACGTCGGGTCGCCAGATAAACGGTGGGTGTATCTCATCGGCTCCTTTTTTGGCGAGGTAAGGTCATGTAAATGACCACACTAGGATCCTGTATGCGTGTTTCGAAGACACAGCATACATCAATGGTACGAGACCCTAGAATTTTAGCCAAGGAGGCCTGCTGACCGATTTGACACAGGATGAGTATGTTGAAGGCTCCAATGTGTAGTTTGAAGCGAGGTTTCAGTATACCTGGGACAATGTTTTGCGCACTAGAATCGTTGACCGTGGTGACACTTGAAGAGGAAGTTCAGAGTTGAAAGCCGAAGTAGGAGCATTAAAATGAATTGAAGAGGGGAATTGGTTATGAATACAGTGGTCTTGAGTACTGTTAGAGATATGAGGGTGATTATCACTTCCTGGTTGCCCACGCTGTGGAAGTGTTTTTCTAAAAGTACATGAAAAGAAAATTTGGTGTTAGTGACCTGAGAGAATGATTACAGTTCTCAAGGGCTATCTGCTTGAGGTTGGTCACACACGACCCTTGTTTAGGTCATTTTTGTTTTAGCTCCGTACTTGTGGAAACCTTACCGCCGGAGATGGATATCCGTGGAATAAGGCGAGGTGTGCATTTTTAGGGTCGACCTTTTCTAACCTCGCTCTTTCTTAGTGGAAAGGGGGCATCGGTGTTATGCTGATCGTCTAAAGGAAACACCTTACTGCTGCCATACCTCTGTACCGTCAGCAGTACGACTTCACTGTCGGAACTTGGATTTGCTGCTTTTAGTCTTACTGCTGTTTAACCAACCTGTCTGGCGTGATATTATCTTGAGATACGACTGTTCCAGACAGTATATCTCGATTGGTTCATCTTGACAAGCAAGCCCGACCACCACGTCAAGATAAAAGCTATAGTCGAATCCTGAACGAATTACTTGTGATTGCTCTTTGGTCACAATTAATAATAGAGTCCGAACTCTTTTATATTTTAAATATTCCACCAATTATTGGACAAATAACAGCTTTTGAACTGTTCACCTTTACTTCCAATGTGCTAGGCACAATTGAAACCCATAACATGAACAGTATGCTTATCAGTAGCCTCAGTTGTTATGGTCTTGAAAGATACAAAACTTTGTCATCTGATGTTATTGATATTTTAACAGATAAGTAAAACCACTACATAGATTTAACAGTCAAACTATGTCAACCATTATATGATCAAATCTATTGTATATATCCAAACAAAGTAAATGACTGCCTGATTCTAATGTCAAGCATCTTAATTAATAATGAGTCTTATGTGACTACCGCTAATTTCTCATGAAGTGCTTTCATAAACTGTTTATAGTCTATGAACATAGCAAAAGAAACGCGTTCAAATACAATTTTGAAAGGTTTGATAGGCGAATAGATGATCAAAAATTTTTAACTGAAAGTAGTTTGTCGCATTAATCTGTTTGAAAAGAACAGTTTCGATGTATTTTACCAGTAGACTATTTCAGGACAACGTCAAACTAGTATGTCTGATAAATCTATCACAACTGATGACATATCTTGAATATTAAAAAGTACATGTAGGTTTATTTTAACTGTCACCATATTAGTTGCCAGATCTGTCCACATCTAATTTAATGATGTTCAATGTTCTAGATTGACCTTATAACAGACTAGTCAGAAATTGTCAGGTTGTTAGCTTGGTATTCTACCTGTTCTGTCAATATATATATATTGACAACCGTACGAGTGTGAGCAATAGTAAACCCAGCAACTCACTATCTAAGTTATATTTCTTATAGATTCCTTATCCCGAAAGATTTAACTATCAAAATAAACAAAAGATTTTGTCATTGAACTTCACAACTGAATTAACAAGACCTTACAAACAGTGACTGTCTCTGTGCTAACCCTATTCGAAGCCGATGAGTAATTGCATATACTTTATTAGATTGATCCCGTTGAGTGACAAAGTTTACTTAACAACTTGATACAAGAAGTTGAATACGAGGTATATTAAGGATGGTTATATATCAGGCATAAAGATTTAGCAGATCAAACCATTTGAGTGGATAAATAAATGGAATGAGAACGTAATTTGTAAATCAAATCAATGTATACATTACTGTCTGAATATATACATAAAAGCATTTACATATATATAAAAAAACGAAAGATCGGCCAGATCCAACAGCCAGTCGCCCAAATAAACTAATGGAACTATGAATGACACTTAATTTCAAAACGAAAGTTGAGTTTTAAATAAGTCCTGTCAACAAGCTTATGGAAGTGTAACGCTGCCACAAATGTATATTTCAACTTCCTATTTATTTGCAACAGTTCGTGTAAGTTCGGTTAATTTCATGACAGCTTCCGCCATAAATTAACATCAACTAGAAAATATCATTTGACTTAGCCTGAGTCAAAACCATGCACTCTCTCCCTTTTTATTTATTTTCTCAGAGAAATACTTCAAGGGGTAACACGTTCTTTGTCTAAAATTTTAAGGATTTACTTCCTATCATGAAATTTAATGATCAACTTACAATAAGCATGTGTATGAAATCATGAACCGATCTAAGTTAGATTACTATTAGAAAGCTGGAAGCACCGGACAACCGTTTTATCTAAGTATGGAGATACACAGTCGTGCATATCTACGACCACGACTATCTCCACAACCCCCTATAAATAGATGAGTCTTATTTGATGTAGATGACAAAACTCGTTTTGTACATCTTGAATAATAAATACGTTCGAAATGGATTTATAAATCTTATTTTAGTATTGATCTGCCCAAAATCTTAGGCAAACCATACGGAGTAAAATGTGTATGCGTGTTGGCTCTTCACCTGTCGTAGAAATCTCACTGGTATAAGTGAGTTCATCTTCCGCCTGTCAAACAGTGATTACACTGTAGCAATAATTTGCTTTGTATTACCTCAGCTCCTTAGTTGTTTTTGACTGACTGACTGATAGATTCGAACATGATTGATCAAAGAGTTTAGATTGACAATAAACGACAGAAAATGGATGTAGCGATGTTACTTACTTATGCCTGTTACTCCTAATGGAGCATAGACCGCAAACCAGTATTCTCCAACCCACTCTGTCCTGGGCCTTCTTTTCTAATTCCATTCAATTCATGTTCATTTTTCTCATGTCTATCTCCATTTCCTGGCGTAATGTGTTCTTTGCTCTTCCTCTTTTCCTTTGGCCTTGAGGATTCCATGTGAGGGTTTGCCTTGTGACGTAGTTGGATGCCTTCCTCAATGTGTGTTCTATCCACTTCCAGCGCTTATTCCTCCGCTGAGATCTGGTTTCTTTTCACCCACAGTAGGTTGTTGCTAATAGTGTCCGGCCAACGGATCCGAAGTATTTTGCGTAGACAACTGTTAATAAACACCTGTATCTTCAGGATGATTGCATGTAGCGATGTTAGATTATTAATATTTTTGTACATATCAATTAGATTTTTGTTAAACACTTGCAATATATCAACATCAATGTCACCACCCACAGAACAGGTACTATTGCTTATTATCTCAACTGTTTGACAAAAAAACACACACAAGAATTCCATGAAACAGAATGTAGTTTTATCGATAAAACGAATGGATCCAACTATTCTAAAACAAAGTGGAAAATATACATAGTAATCAAATAAATCATAAGAAATAAATCTCTTGAAGATATTAAATTGTATTTAAGGAAAGAGGAGGAAACTTGAGAAAACTATCAGTTTGATGTAAATGCGCGCTCATATATTACAAAGAAGACAGAACAATATAGGATAGAGGAAAGATACAGTGGATAAGATTATGATTGATTCATATCGGCATTTGTACCGAGGGAATTGTTGTCTTCTACAGGCTTCGATGGAATACTAATCACATTTCTCGAACGTATTGGTACACGATCAATGTGATTACGATTGAAATGAAATGCTGGAACTACCCATGTGCCACATACACATGGTTCGCCTAAATAAATCAATGAAAATAAAGTTTTGTTTTGAATATATATATATACATATATCATGAAAAACTTGGTATATTCGTTTAGTACACCTTTTAAACAATTTGGTTTAAATCTTCTGTTGTAAAGGTATTATATGTGAAGAAGACAAGACATTAAATAGGTTTGAAAAGTGGAAAATATGGTACATTCATCCAGTTGATAAACAATCGGTTAAAGACTTAGGTAGACTTATTGATAAAAACAAATTATTTTCCCACACATAGGTGTACAAGTTTCTTGAGGGTTAGAGGTCTTATAAATTTAAGAGCTAGCCTCTGACATCTTGCGTAAAGAAATTATGGAGCTTGCTTTGAATTAATCTTTGTGAACAACGAATTCGAGAAAATCACGGAGATTTCGGATATGGATTTGAGTGTTTTGATTAAGTATTCAACTTCTATGAAGTTGTAGAACAAAGGTCTAATTTATGACATCTAACAATAGTGGCATTTCCTCATCTGAAGGCAGCATCTGATTTCATCGACTGATGAATTGTGTAGCAAGCTTTCTGACTAAAAGGTTGGCTAAAAAAGTACATAAACTTTGTGAAAGCTATTTAGTTGAACAAATCCAAATCCGTAAAATTATATGTTCTTCAAGACTCTCAGTTATATTCATACTTATGAAATTTCTGCAAAGATATTATATTAATAATAATACTTTATATCTCTAACTTATTGTTGGGATATTCAGGAAAATATCCCAAAAATTATCATGTTAAGTCCAATGGTGTCCTTGGACCTTAAATGTACATTTCCCATTGGTCGATATTTATTTAACGTGTTATTTTCCTGTTGGCCAATATGGTACAATGTTATTTTCTACTTTGTGGTACGATGTGGTTTGTTTGCTTGGTATATAAACAAGGTATTTTTGAAATATAATGATTCATATATCCGAGGCTGAAACTTGTGTTCTGGACTCAACTGGCTGGGTTAGACAGGGAAGCGAGACCAATCAGAACCCTAGGTCGTTCTACGTGTTTGCGCGTCTTTGGTCCGATCAATAATTCGCTATCCCTTAATCAGCATTATTTTCACGTTATAACATTTATAAAAAACTATTCTAATTAACGAAAGATTTAATTAGCGACTTGCAATACGCAGACGATATCACTCTGATAGGAAAAGACCCAAACATAATCAAGTCTTTTGATAGCCCATACAATGCAAGTTGTTTAGGATTAGTTCCTCTCCTGGTAAATTCGAACTCCTGCTTAGAACTAATCTGAGTCAGAGAGTAGAATAACCGTGAGGGGTGAAGCAGTCGAGCGATGACTACTTTACTAATCTTAAAAGTCTAAGCAACCCTAACAGGTTACCATCTGATATAATCTGAGCACGGATTCAAAGTTCCCCGCAGTTTTTAACAACCTACGTCACATTTGACGTAAGCAGGATGACTGGATGGAAAATGAGGAGAGAGCATAGTGCACAACAATCCTCTCTAGAATAATATATGGCTGCTAAGTATGGTTTATGGGAATAGAACAAATAAGTATACTACAGGCTTTTAACTATAAGTGTCTTCTAAGTATTACTTCCGTATCTCAGAAAAAACTGAGTGAACAATACTGGGGCCAAATTCACAGTACTGAACGAATGTAGCAAATCTTTTGCTGAGGCTATGGATGGAACATGTTACGTACACCAAATATTACCTAGTTCGTTAAAAGATGTTGGCTGACGTAGTGGAAGATTGGAAGTTATGGCAGCCAAACAAAGACGTAATATCAGTCCATGAAATCAATGATTGTTGGGGACCTATGTTAATAGATCCAGACACTACTTGGTTAAGGTCCGCACAAATAATCTGATTAATGTTTGGAAACATTGGGTGACATGGCGTAGAACACGTAACAGTGGCCCAGTTGCATTTATTCATTATGTTGCTCCAAATCTTGAGTTAAGTATTACTTCCGACTTTCTACCTTTTGTTTTTTAACTGTATTTGCTATATTTAGCGTTCCGTCACAGTCGATATCATCTTCTACCACCTGCTCATCATCTTGTTTATTTAGCCGCTATGTCCTGATATGAAATGTGGCAACTTGTATAAATGCACACTTGTGACACGTCACACGTTGATAATGGCTATCTGACTGAAGCCAAAATTCGATTACTTCCTAATACGAATTAGTGTAAACACCCATTTGGACTGACTCAACTATTTGTGTAATCATAAACAATGTAGAACCTGGCATCGATTTAAGTTGTTACCAAGATAGAATTAGCGGTAGTAATAGTATCAGTGACATTAAAGATTCACTAGACAAAGATAATACGATTTCAGAAGAATGAATTTAGAGGATAAAAGATACAAGGTAACTATGGAGCTCATGGTCTAAGGGAAGACAAACAGAGAATGTATATGCGCTATCAAGACCGAATATGAGCCATGTCACTAAAACGTCTCAATCATTATTCACGATAATTCATTTTGTACTGGCTGTTTGAATCTGCCCATTGATGTTTAGGACTGCAATTAACTAGTTTCGTATTGGCATATGTGCGCCCTGTGTGGCTTAACTCGATACTGCCTTGAATCACAAGCATTATAAACCGAGATGGATGGACGCTAGCAGTAGAATTCAGGACGTGCGTTTCGTCCTACTGGGGATTCATCAACCGAATGTGCCTGCATCTCAGAGTTGACATTCACCCTGGAACTCGAACCCAGTACCACTCGCTTCAAATGCCATCGCGTTATCCACCTAACTACTGAGTCCTGATAGCCACCTGCTTGTGCAATGGGGTGAAGTTTAAATTCATTTAGTACTGCTTGCTTGTATCTTCCCATTGTTGTTTAGGAACTTCAATTATTCAGTCTGTTGTTGGCATATGTGCATCATGTGCGGACTGCCACGATATTGCCCTAAGTAACAAGCTTTATAAGCAGAGACGGATGGTGGTCAGCAGTGGAATCTAGCTGACGAGTCCCAAATAAGACAAAACGTGCGTTTTGGATTCCAGTGCTAGTCACCATCCATCTCTCCCTATCAGTCAAAATAACTGTACAAACCCCACTAAGCCAGGTAATTCGCACCTACCAGCATGACATATGTTTGATGATGATGATGTTTAAGGAGGAAGCATGAGTTTTACTCCTTCAGTAATGACGAATTTGACTGTATAATACATTTTAATGATACATAGCTTGAACATTGGCTTCAGAAATAGTGTAGCATTAGACTTTTCTGTGTGATGGTATGATGAGATAGCTTATTTGAAGGACAAGAGAAAATTGGTTCAAATGATAACCATCTTTTGCAAACAGTAATAAAATTTAAGTCACATTTTGACTTCATCAATTATTCTCCTATAAACCTGACTTTTTAAAAAAGTGTGTGTATATCACTTAATCTATTATTCATTAAATGTTTTTAGTTTATGTTTCTCTGACCACATAGCTATTGGTATAAAGGGGCAACAAATACACATGCACCACACGATAACAATGAAGTTGTGAAGAGATAGAGAATGTAAAGTGCATATAAGAAAGAGGAGAACAACAAAGAACAGAAATCAGTATATGAGAGTAAAATAATAATAACGGGAGAAACAGTTCAATTAGGAAAAGTACAGCCAGAGAGAATTCTTCCAGTTAAAGAAGTTACGTCCATTTTTTAAAAAAAGCAAAATGAAGTTACAGTAGGATTAATACTGACTCCTATTCTGAGTCATATCTGATAACGTCTCTAGCCACTCTGTTGCAATAAATCTGAGACCCCAACCAGGGAGTTGTGAAGGACCAACAGAAGCCAGTCCTGTATAGCTTTCTTTCACACCACGACATCATTTCATACACTAACCAACTCTGTTTTTTCCAACCAGTCCCAGCATCGGCAAATAATGCATCACGTGGAATCCTGTGGGACGACATTTGTAAAACATGTCCGAACCACCGAAATCGATGTTTCAAGAAAGTGACACTAATTGAATTGTCGTCGCTGTACACGAACACACGATGCCTAACTTCTGCATTAATAATATGGTGTTGTCACTGGATGCCAACAATCCTTCGGCAACAATAATGACCATACACGCAAAGGTCAGGTTTCACAAGCACACAACAAGACTGTTCTCACCGAAGCGTTGTCCATCCGACCATTTACAGCCAAACTAACATCATGAAAGTGCCAAAGATGTCCCAGATTGGCATAAGCCGCTGTGGCTCTCACTATACGTGAATTGGTCTCATTACTCACACCACCACTCATTTATTTTATTTATTTATTTATTTTAACACAGATATTGGTACGAGGAGGGCTGTGATATTGCCTGAGTGACCAAACCGAACCAGGTGGATTTCTTATGGGGCAACACCCAGAGCCTTCGACCTGAAGGTCTGATCCACAAGGCAGTGGAGCACCGTAAGGAGAAGCAGTCCCATGGTAGCTGGTGACGAACACCTGGTTCATACGCCGTTTGTTTCTTCAGTATATGAGAGTAAAATAATAATAACGGGAGAAACAGTTCAATTAGGAAAAGTACAGCCAGAGAGAATTCTTCTAGTTAAAGAAGTTACGTCCATTTTTTAAGAAAAGCAAAATGAAGTTACAGTAGGATTAATACTGGCTCCTATTCTGATTCATGTGCACCATTGGTTTGGAATCAGGGTTTTCCAACTCCCCTAAGTGGACTCTCCATGTCCACCAACCCGGTTAAAGCGCCGGACATTCGCTTTTCATCCTCTCAATTTCGTCAACAACACCCCGCCACGAGAAGGCAATGAGTAGAACTTCCCTGGCAGAGGTTATATACGCGTGGCCATGTGAGAGCATTTCGAGAGGGAGAACGGACTCTCCCCACTCTCGGCCGTACCAGGGCATCTGGGGGCCACCACTAGTAGCTGTACAGCTACCCAGATACACCAACTTTTCGGCTACTTCTATCTGCTCACTACCCAGCGTGAGAAAAGAATCAGTGTCCTGTCAGTCTTGTAAAAGTACATTGCACTTTGAAGGTGCAAAGCACATACCATATCTACGGACACTTATTCCCAACTGAGTAAATGCGGATTGCATGACTTGAGTATCATTGAACAGTAAAACAATATCATCCGCATACTCAAGGTCGATAAGTCTTTCTCCAGGTAAGAGATTGACACCACCATTATCTACAGCCATCACAGGTGTTTCCATAAACCAGGACATTACACCAACTTATGGGGTTACTCACTGCTGTTTCGAGATACGCATGGAAGTGTAAACTTCCTGAGGTGAGAGCTTTGAATAACAGAAATTAAATGATCCAGAACTCAGTATCCTGAGCAAACATCGACGATTTTCTTTAAAATGTTGAACGCTTTATGCGTTTTTTTCGCCTTAGCTTTACGGATGTTTTTAATCTACTTGAATTTCTTTCATACTGCTAGGCTGTTAAACAAATAAAGTTCCTCCGACAGATCCACTTTTGTGCAATATTTATTCTCACTAAGTTAATGCCATCAGACATTAGTAATTAAGGCCGTTCGTATTGATGGTAAATAACTTTCTGGTTTGACTATCTTCAGCTATTTTTTAACATACCACTACATCGGTAAATACTGAAAATCAGAATGACAAACAAATTCCCAGACACTTCAGCTTGCACAAGCTAATCACATCACTCACATATTTATTTATTTAAACACATAAACATTGGTGCAAGGAGGCACCAAATAGATATGCGCCACAATAATCGCCTACCATACAACTAACATGTTTTTCCCACTAGTACTCTGTGCTTAGCCACAATCGCTTTCAGTAAACACTTACCTCAAGTGTGTGAAAAACAAACATTAAATTAATTTAATAGTTTTCTCAATTAAATTAATAAATTTTATTAGTAAAACAAGCTTACCACACCAATTGAAAGAGCCAACTTTAGCGTTGCATCCAGGACAATAAAGCTAAAATGTGATAAAGAAACGTACAAAAGCACATAAATTCGACTTCCTGTCAATATTTGTATGAATAGTGTTTATGACACTATTCAGTTGCCAGAATCGAGGAAAATGGTGAGATTTGAACAAGCGAAATACAGCTCCATTAGAATGCATGGAGCCCCTATTATAGGTTACATATTATCCCGATTAAATTTATTATAAGAACTAACAAAGCTAAAGGCGAAATGAGTTGAAGCACTAATACTATTGGATAGTGCCTAACACTGAGAATTAGCTAGATTCACTGAGTACGTGCCTATATTTCAATTAAAAAAGTAATAACATAAGAAAGTCTGGTAAAATATAATACCAAAAAATGCACACACCACTGGACTAGGAATTCTATTTAATGGATCAAACAACACAATTCAGCAACCAGTCAGCAGTCGTCTTGAGTGCTGTTAAAGGTATGAGGGCGGTTATCAATACCCGGTTGCCCACACCGTGTAAGGGTCCTTCTGGAGTTACCTGAAAAGGAAATTGGATTAGAGGAAGTCTTAGTGACCTGAGAACATGACCGCAGTGCCCAAAGGACAACTGCTTGGGGCCGGTCATACACGACATTTTGTAAGTAATTTTCGTGTTAGCTCTGTACTTTTTGAAACCTTACCTCCGGAGACGAACATCCGTGAGATAAGGTGAGGTGTGCATTTCTAGAGTAGACCATTTTGTAACTCCAGCCCTTCTTGTGGGAAGGCAGCATCGCTGTTATGCTGGTTGTCTGAAGGAAACACCTTACTGCTGTCACACCTCTGTACAGTCAGCAGTACTACTTCACCCTCAGATCTTGGGTTTGCTGTTTTTAGTCTTACCGCTCATCAACCGACCTGTCTGACATGGTAGGACCTTGGGGAATAGTTGTTCCAGCCAGTATAGCTCAATTGGTTCACCACGACAGGCAAGCCCGACTACCACGTCAAGGCAGCAACAACGGTCGGGCAGAGGCTTAGACTGAGACTATGGTCTAATTTGAGCACGTATCTGTCTGTCTTACTGAATGCAGAAAAGTCACTGCAAAAAACATCTTACAGTCTAACTCAATCATAAAAAAGTGAAGAATACATTTCAGGAACGACTAGAGAAGGAGCTAGTCAACCGTGGAAATTATATCTAACCCGATGTAACTTGGCATGATATCCAACAAGCTATGGAAACAGCAGTGATATCTACTAGTTACTGAAACCAAAGGTTAAGAAAAATCAATGGGTTTCAGCAGCATCTACGGAAGTGACAGACACTTGTAAACTCATCCCGTCTGGCTCCAAACACGATGAGGAATGGAGGCAGCTTAAACGTTGCTTGACAAAAAGCCAACTCAATGATCGTGAGCAGTGGTGAGTTGTGAAAACAGAAGAGATGGGAAAGGCAGCTGCGATAAGTAACAGTAACCAACTGCTCAGAACTATCAAGGAAACGGGTAATAAAAATACAGCCGTTAGTGAAACTATCTCAGTAAAAGACGGGACTTATATTCACTGTCAATCCTGGAGATCGGACTGATAGACAGAACACTTTAGGGAACAGTTCAACTGGCCTCCAACCACACTTTACTTACTTACTATCCCAAAGCGAGCTGAATAGCAAATAGACGTATGTCCTACAACTCTTGGTGAGGTTGATAAGGCTATAGGCAATCTAAAGCGAAAGAGAGCAGCAGAGCCTGATGGACTAACCCCTTAGATTTTTAAGGATGATGGCCCAGTTCTAGCAGTTACATTAACTGAGATCTTAGCTAAAATCTGGAAATTGCACGCAATTCAGTGCAATCGGTCTCGGTCGCTGATCGTTATTCTATAAGAAAGCACAAAAGTCGTCTTATGGTAATCACAGAGCAAACAGTTTAAATAATTCAGTGTCTAAAATATTAGTCTCTATAATACTTACACATCTAACTAGAACTCTTGAAAAGCAAACCCGAGTAAACCAGGCTGGTTTAACTGTCATAGATATGCCTTTAGAAATAATATTATCATCGTTCGACTATTCAGGGGTTGATCTACCAGAAGATTCACTCACTCACTCGGAATGTCCAGAAGATATAGTTGTGTTCGGTGAAGACGCTAGGAAAATCCAGTCTTCTGACCACCTTAAAACACAATGCAAGCATGTTTGAGATGCAGTCCTCTCCTGCCAAGTGCAAAATGTTGCTTCGCGATTGGCTTGCGTCATCACCCGGATTAATCACAATGAGTGGGGCAGCTGAACGCATCGTCAACTCCACTTATCTTGGACGTCTCATCAATCATGATGATCTGATGACTGACGAAATCTTCACATACACTGACAGTCCGACTGGCTTTTACCAACTTGCATCACTTGTGGTGCAGGTGACATCCTTTTGTCAAACAAAGGACGGGTTCTCTGAGCAGCAGTTCAATTCGTTCTACTTCATGAGTGTGAAACATGACCATTAGTAATAGAGGATATTCGTAGGTTACTAGTATTCCATCATAGATGTCTTCGAAGCATTGCTCATGTGTGTTGAGATCACAGACTAAGCAATGCATGGATTAGGAATAGGCTGCCATCAGGTAGTGAATCTGTATCAACTGAGGTGGTTGGGACATTCGTTACGTAAGCTTAACTACGGCCTACTTCAACGAGCGATGTTGTTTGGTGTAGAAACAGGCTGGAACAAAGCTAAGAGCGCCCAAACCCAAACACAACGTCAGTCCATGATGTCACTAACAGTGAGTCAGCTACAACGTAGCACCAGGCACATACATGCACCGGTCCAAGTTGTCATACCGCATTACACAACAACATGAACACCGGATTCAATAGAATCAGTTAACTCAATCGTGTAATATATAAAAGATCTTATGTAAGGATATAGTACAGAGAAAAAGAATTGGTTCGTAGAAAGGAAGATATGAAGTGATTTTAATCTCTTAGTTTAAGGGAAGACAAGGAGTGTATGCACCGACGCCATTGTGATCGATTCTGAGCCATGTCACCAAGAGTCTCCAACCATCGGTTACGATAGTCACGCGGACCCCAACTAACTAGTCTGCATCTACCAACATGGCTAAGACTAGAAATTAGTCACTTCATGCACTGATGCCACGTTTTGGTTGAAGTCACTAACAATTGGACTGAGTGATGTTAATAGGTAGAGACTACCTGGATGGTGTCCGCGTGATCACTGCAACCAATCGTTAGAGACTTTGAATAATATGGCTTAAAATCATTCGCCATAGCGCAGGTGCATAAATTCTTTATATTCTCCTAAATCCTGAGATTATGAACTCTTCATAACTGCTTTTGCTTTTATTTCACCAATTTATATTTTCTTTCCGAGTCGTGTCTTCGATGTCTAATATTTCTTGTTGCCGCTGATACCGTTACTACCTCTACTATTCTGGGATAAAACATGACAATATAATCCATCTGTGCTAATAGGGTATAGCAACTTGAATCGATGTACATAAGTATCAGGTTCTATGCTTTAACTGGTTGCCTAATACTACAAAGACAATGTACCATGGCCGAAATATCTGTTAAAGATGGTTCAAAGTATAAATACTCTGGAGGAATAGCAAACAAACTAATGTTAAAACTAGTGGTTTACAAAACTCCATATTCTTCAACAGAGAAATAACGGGATTGCATACCTTTCCTTGAACATCACTAGTACTGTGCAATGTCCATTCCAATGGGTCACAGAACAATTCATTTTTATCACATTGTAAAGGAGAGTTATTTAATGAAACACCTTTGATTAATACACTAGATACGTTATCAGTGTTCTTGGATTTTGTAGAATTTATAAGAGGGTTAGGTGTTATCTCCGGTTTTTGATGAATACGTAACTGATTCGAATTGAATAACACTTGTCTACAAGGATAAATTCATATTTTGAAAAAAAAATCGTATTTATTTTTTTAAAGGACAGAAACCTGCATTTTTTACATCTAAAACTTGAAGGTGTGTTGTGCAACTGATAGACTGTTTGACTTTCTAAAAGATCACCATTATAATCTATTAAAAAGAGGGATTAGAAATAGCACTTATAAACAGCAAACCCGTAAAAACTGAGAAGGTTCTTTTCGTCATATATTGTTGAAATAATGGAGAATCACGGTTGACCGTCCACTTCATAGTATGAAACAACTTTAACTGATTAATAAATCCATTATTGGGACTAAATATTAATAGAAATCAATCATAAAACATTCAATCAGTAAAACCGTAATTACAAAATACTCCGTTTCCTTGAAACAATATTATAAGCCTCTTCATAGGATAAATGATTTTGACGCATAAGGTAGGCGATTACAACACTGGCGCTGCGAGATACACCCATAGCACTATATTCCGTTCATCCGTTTTTAATTTAAAAAAACTAGACCACTATGTATTTACTCCGCTTACCAGTGAACCAAAATATTTGAGTTATTTTTTATACTTTCATCAATAAAACTTAAAGCATCTTCAAGAATTTCCAGCAAATCCTGGGATGGCTCGTCACGCAGATATAAGAACTTCATGTTAAATCCTTTGAATACATTGCAGTCTAATGGCAGGATATCTAATGTTAAAATTGACATTATTCCATTTCTTTTTAAGACTGAAATATTTTCTGCAAATGGCATAGGTCCAAGCCATAGACCTGGGATAATCTCATCCATATTTATTATCAATCACTAAAAAAAGACCACAACGAGTACAAAAGATGATTTAAAATTCAACGGAATCTAGGAAATTCAGAAATCATTTATTATGCATACATTAGAGCGAAAAAAATCTGACGCTGTGTAGTCAGTTTGGTTACTTACACTAATCATATCATAAATCGATTTGAATTATTATTCTGGTTATGATTATTGTATGAATGATGCACTACTACACTTAGGTTTAAATTTAAGCAAATTATAGCTCTTACAAGTCATTCAAAAGCTAGTTATTATAATTTCGAAGCCTCGGTGTACCTGAAGTAGAAGACATTATTTTAAACAAATAACTTCCGAAAATTACTCACTTTTGGTGGAGGCATGTTAAGGACTCAGGAGCATTAGTACAAGAGGTACGGACTCATTTCCGGCAGTTATACAATCAAGTAACAACCATTTATACCCTGAACAGTCCCCAAAAAGAAGCACAGTCATCCCTGGACAGGCCGGGATATTCGACGTTTACTAAGACAAAAGAAGAAATGTTGGAACATCGCCATCAGCCTTGTCACAGCAAGTACAGTGAAATGCTACAAGTCGGTACGAAATACATGTATAATTACAGTCCGTGAAGCTCATACATAAAACAGGACCAAGACGACTTCCATCAAAATACAGACCTGTCAGCCTCACCAGTGTCATAATTAAAATATTGGGAAGAATAGTCAACAAGGCCATAATGATAATCTTGGAAACCAACAACTTGTTAAACAGTGAGCAACATGATTTCAGAAAAGTTTTATCTTGCACAACAGACCTCAAAGCAAGGGAGCAATGGATAGAGGCTCTAGACAATAGAAAATCAGTGTGAGTAGTCTACATAGACTTCAGTAGAGCGTTTGATAAGGTGCCACCAAATAGACAGTTCTTGAAGCCGAAATATTTAGGCAGTGTCGGACCTCTCCTAAAATGGCTTATGGATTTCTTGGTAGGTCGTAGACAGTAAGAATAAATTTCAAGTGTTCCATCCGGAAACCAGTACTTAGTTGAGTACCACAAGGCTGTCTTATGTCCTTTAATTTTTATACGATATGTAAGTGAACTGCCAAATATAGTTGGGTCCCCAATGCTGCTATACGCCGACTCAAAAACCTGGCGGGAAATAACAAGAAACGCAGATGCATGCGCACTTCAGGCAGGCTTAGATATTCTGATTAGCTGGTCAAAAATGGCTGGTGTGGCCAAGTGTGTCTACATGCACTTTGGGGATACAAAGGTAAATAGGTACATCATAGAAGTGCCTATACCCGTAGTCCGGTCTCACAAGGATCTTGTGGTGACAGTGAGTTATGAACTTAAGACCACGGCCCATTGCTGCGATATTAAAACTAAAAAGTTTAGAACCCTCGGGACTTTAAGACGGACATTCACCAAGTTAGAAACTACTATGTTCACTACAGTATAAAAACCCTTAATGAGAACTAAGCTTCAAAACTGCATTGGAGCCGCAAACCCGTTTAAAAGGTGACTCGAATATTCCGGAAAACGTACAGAGGGCAGCAACTCGTGCAATTCCAGGGTTTACCATACAAAGACAGGTTTGAAAAGCTGGGTCTATTTACTCTGTCCTATTGCAGATTAAGAGGTGATCTGATCTTAACATATAGAATATCAAAAAAATGATTTTGGACCTAATATATACTCTCTTCTTCTTCCCGCTAGATCGGGACATCTAAGAGGGTATCGTAGGCGAGTAGAAAAGCCAAGAACGAACAAAATACCCGTGGCATACACGTTTTCACACAGTCATCGATTCTCGGAACCTCTTACCCGAAGCAGCGGTGTCCGCACCTTCAATCGACTCTTTCAAGAGTAGACTAGACACTCACAGAAACATGCTAGAAAAGGAAAGACCATACGCCGTATGCCTTCTGTCCTTGCTACACAAATCTAAATCTGAAGAACGGAAACTTACTCTGAGTTCATTAGATCTAGATTTTTGGACCATCGTGCTATGGCATCAAAAATTATTAGTACTGAAGGGAGCACAAAACTAAGATATATTAACACTAAAATCGTTATTAAACATACGGAACGCCCATATTAAGTCACCACGTTTGAAGAGACCGTCGTGAAGGAGTTCGGAAAGATCCTTCACTAACCTTGTTTTCAAACGCTGAACAAGATCAAGCGAGTCGGTATCCTTAATAAGAAATGAACCAGCTGTTTGGGTACAGTACCCAACCCGACCGTTGTTGCTATCTTGACGTGGTGGTCGGGCTTGTCTATCGTGATGAAGGAACCGAGCTATACTGACTGGAACAATTGTTCCTCAAGGTCCTACCACGTCAGAAAGGTCGGTTGAAGAGCGGTAAAACGAAAAGCAACAAACCCAAGGTCCGAAGGCGAAGTCGTACTGCTCACTGTACAGAGATGTGACAGCAGTAAGGTGTTTCCTTCAGACAACCAGCATGACAATGATGCTGCCTTCCCACAAGGAGGGGTGGAGTTAGAAAAGGTCGACCCTAAAAATGCACACCTCGCCTTACCTCACGGATTTCCGTCTCCGGCGGTAAGGCCCTTTTGAAGAACGGAGCTAACACGTCAAAAACCTCCCACGAAAAGGCCGTGCGCGACCGGCCTCAAGCAGTTGTCCCTTGGGCACTGCGGTCACGCTCTCAGGTCACTAAGACCACCTTTAATCCAAATTCCTTTTCAGGTACCTCCAGAAGAACCCTTCCACGGTGTGGGCAACCGGGAAGTGAAAACCGCCCTCATACCTCTAACAGCACTCAAGACCACTGTATTCATAATCAACCTCCCTCTTCAATTCCTATTATTCCTCCTACATCGACTTTCAACTTTAAATTTCCTCTCTCGGCTTCCACGTCAAGTGTCACCATAGCCAACGATTCTAGTGCACAAAATACTGTCCCAGGTCTACTGAAACCTCGCTCCAAACTACACATTGGAGCCTTCAACGTACGAACCCTATGTCAAATCGGTCAGCAGGCTTCCTTGGCTAAAACCCTAGAGTCTCTTTCCATTGATGTGTGCTGTATCTCCGAAACACGCATACAGGATTCCAGTGTGGTCATTCACTTGACACCACCTCGGCAAAACGGAGAGCCAACGAGATACACTCTACGTGTATCTGGTGACCTGATGGCCAGTTCTCGTGGAATGGCAGGATTAGGGATAGCACTAAGTATGAGGGCGGAACAAGCACTGTTAGAGTGGATCCCCGTCAACAGTCGTCTATGTGCTGTTCGGCTAAACGGCTCCGTAAGAACTCGGAAGGATAGAGACACACGTCGTTGCCTTTTTGTCGTTTCTGCCTACGCTCCCACCGACTGCAGCTCAGATGGAATGAAAGATGAATTTTACAGAAAGCTATCTGAACTTCTTCAGAAAGCTAAACGTTCAGACATAGTACTCGTAGCAGGTGAGTTTAATGCCCAGATAGGTAGTTTAAACCAAACAGAAAGGCATTTAGGTGGGTATTTTAGTATACCGGCACAGCAAACAGATAATGGTGATCGTCTGCTGCAACTATGCTCAGACAATCGTTTATTTTTAGCAAACACAAATTTTAAGCATAAGGAGAGACATCGTCTAACATGGCGACCCCCTACACCAAACCAACGATGGACTCAAATAGACTATATTGCCATCAGTCATCGTTGAAGAGGGTCGGTAGAAGATTTTCGCTGCTTGGACTTCGACCATGCCCTAATATGGGCACGCGTCTGCTTGCGCCTCACTGGACGCAAAAATGCCACATTAAAAAGACCAATTAGAACTGAGTTGAGTAACGAGAAAACCAAAAGTAGATTCCAGGAACAATTGAGGTCACACTTAGGTAGTTCTGAAAACGAGGCTGACCCAGATGTTGCTTGGAAAGACATACAAGCAGCTGTGGAAACAGCAGTGACATCTATTAGCGACTTAAACCACATAGTTACAAAGAACCATTGGATTTCTTCAAAGTCTATCACACCGATGGATTCTCGCAAACTCGTCCCATCAGGTTCCGAACATGATGAAGAGCGACAACAAATCAGATCTAGGTTAAGAAAAAGTCTAAGAAACGATCGTGAGCAGTGGTGGGCAATGAAAGCAAAAGAGATGGAAAAGGCGGCGACTATAGGGAACACAAGACAGCTTTACAGACTAATAAAAGAAACTGGAATTAATAAGTCAAGTGTAAGTGAGATTATTTCGGAAAAAGACGATACTCCCATATGCTCCCAGTCCAGACGTTTAGAACGATGGGCGGAACATTTCAGAGAACAGCTGAACTGGCCTTCAGCGACTCTACAACTACCCTCCATTCCCAGACAGCGTGAATGGAACATTGAAGTAGGTCCCCCAACTCTTGCTGAAGTTCAAAACGCTATAGTTAATCTGAAACGAGGAAGGGCAGCTGGTCCAGATGGACTGGCTCCAGAGGTCTTTAAGGATGGTGGCCCAATTTTAGCGATTAGGCTGACTAATATTTTAGCTAAGATCTGGGGGTTAGACGTTATCCCATCCAACTGGTCACAATCACTTATCGTCCCAATATATAAGAAAGGGTCAAAATCATCCTGTGACAACCACAGAGGGATTAGTTTAACTAATATAGTATCTAAAATAGTAGCCTCGATAATTATCAGACGCCTAACTAAGACTCGTGAACTGGAAACACGAGAAAGTCAGACTTGCTTGAGACGTGGTCGTGGCTGCATCGACCACATATTCACCACTCGTCAGGTTCTAGAACACAGGCATACTTATCGACGTCCGACAATGGTGGTCTTTCTCGACTTAAAAGCAGCATTCGACTCAGTAGACCGCGAGATTCTGTGGCAGTGTCTGTCATTGAAAGGCGTACCCCAGAAGTACATAAACCTAATAAAGGCTCTTTACTCGAACACTACTAGTCGAGTCAGAGCTTATGGCGAACTGTCATCTACTTTTGCAACCTCAAGTGGTGTCCATCAAGGCTGTGCACTTTCCCCATTTTTGTTTAACTTCATCATAGATCTACTGCTGGAAATAACGCTCTCATCGACTGAATTCTCGGGTATTGATCTCCTTCCAGGAGGTCCACTTATCGACTTAGAATACGCAGATGATATAGTCCTGTTTGGTGAAAACGCTGACAAAATGCAGAGTCTTCTGGTAGCACTGAGCAATAATGCCAGAATGTTTGGAATGCGCTTCTCTCCCTCGAAATGCAAGTTGTTGCTTCAGGACTGGTCTGCGTCAACACCTGAACTAAGGATAGGGAGTGAAGTAGTCGAACGCGTTGACAACTTCACTTATCTTGGAAGTCTGATCAGCCCTAATGGGTTGGTATCGGACGAAATCTCAGCACGGATTCGAAAAGCTCGCTTGGCTTTTGCCAACTTACGTCACCTTTGGCGAAGGCGAGATATCCGTCTATCAATAAAAGGACGAGTATACTGCGCGGCACTCCGTCCTGTTTTACTTTACGGCAGCGAAACATGCCCATTAAGAGTAGAAGACACTCGTAAGCTATTAGTATTTGACCACAGATGCCTTAGAAATATTGCTGGCATCTGCTGGGATCACCGGGTAAGTAATAGCGAGGTTAGACGCAGGGTATTAGGGAATGATGATGGTTAATCAGTTGATGAGGTTATGAATCTTCATCGACTGAGATGGTTGGGCCACGTGTTACGTATGCCCGAACACCAATTACCACGTCGTGCAATGCTAACCGGTGTTGGGGATGGTTGGGAGAAAGTTAAGGGCGGCCAATTCAAAACGTGGTATCAGTGCTTGAAGTAACTAACTTCTGGTCTGAGCCATGTTGGTAGATGCAGACTACTTAGTTGGGGTCCGCGTGACTTTCGTAATCGATGGTTGGAGACTCTTGGTGACATGGCTCAGAATCGATCACAATGGCGTCGGTGCATACAGTCAGTCAGTCAGTCGGTGCATACACTCCCTGTCTTCCCTTAAACTAAGAGATTAAAATCACTTCATATCTTTCTTTCTACGAACTAATTCTTTCTTCCTGTACTGTATCCTTATATGCAATTTTTCTCCTATATATTACCACCTTTGACCTAACCACTCCTATGAATCCGGTGTTAATCTTGCTTTGCTAATGAGGTATGACAACCTGGACCGATGTATATATGTGCCTGGTCCTACGTTGTAGCTGACTGACTGACTGACAGTACCCAAAGTGTGATCTTACACAGGTGGTATATAAAATCACAAACATCTCGGCTGTTGCGAGAGCCAGAGGTTCAGTCTTCAGTAGTAGGTTGAACCTGTGTTTATCCTGACAGATTGCCTTCCAGTGAAGGTCCAGTTTCTCCTTGAAAATATCCACTGATGGGGCTGATACTAATTGTTCGGATAAGGCGTTCCAATGATTGACTACTCGATGAGAAAAACGGGACCCCACTTTAAGTTTATTAGATCGCGGTTTATAAATCTTTTTGCTATGACCTCGGAGATTATTAGTGCTGGAGGGAGCAAAAAGATAAGACATATTACCACCCAAATCGTAATTAAATATACGAAATGACAGTATAAGGTCACCTTGCGTCCTACGACACGACAGGGGAAAAGGTTTAGGCGTTTTGAACGTTCATCGTAAGGGAGTTTAGAAAGACCCTTCATTAATTTCGTTCCCACACGCCGGACACGCTCAAGTGAGTTAGTAGCCTGTACCAGACATGGACTAGCTGCTTCGATACAGTACTCTAAATGTGGTCTTACATAGGTGGGATATAAAATTCGAAACATTTCCTCGTCAAAAGATTTGAACCCGAAATTTACCCCAAATTGGTAGACTGGGATGCACTAACTAAGCAGGCGACGCGCAGCTAAATTTAATTTGGACCACGGTGCGTTGTCATGAAAATTACACAGTATCAATGTAAATATACCCAAATACACAGCAGCTGCAGGACGAAGGCCAGGCAAGGTCAAGTGTTAGAGATTCAATTTCACTTTCAGCTTTGGCTTGAGGTTGGGTGATCGAAGTTAGTCTTATCAGTGAAGGCCCTTCAATTGACTCAACTTCCTTTTTGATCTGTCAACTGCCGACATCGAGTACGATAGTTGTATGTTGGAAGGATTATCCCGCTCTACTCGTCCCGGTTTCACACACGTCCTGATTCTAGGGGCCTTTAATCTCCCTAGAGTCAACTTCGTGGAACACACGTATACTGGAGACGACAACTCAACTGAAGCTCGGTTCTTCAACCTCATCGATGACTTGGGATTATACGAAAATGTGAGGTTGGCAACGCGTTGTAGAATCAGTCAGCCACCATTGCGCTTAGACTGTGTATTCACAAATGAAGAATTCCTAGTTGATAAACTCTCAATCCTGGCTCCCCTGGGAAAGAGCGATCATGCTATCATAGCCTTCAGCTTTGTCAACGAAACTAAGCTAAGATATCCCACCAATAACTTGCGTTGGAATTTTGAACGGCTGAATGTGCCAGCTCTACATGACTATCTGCAACAGGTGGTTTGGGATGTTCACCCTCAAATCGATGTGGACGGTCATTAGGACTTCTTACTGCACACGCTCTTATGTGCTACAAACCATTCAGTTCCTCAAATGGTTCCCAAAAGTTGCAAGCCACCTACTGTAATCAAGAACCGTACCCTTCGCCTGCTAAGCCGCAAAAGGCACTGTTGGGCGGAATACAAACGAACGGACAACGACAGAGCGTACAGGCAATATAAACATATCAGGAACATATGCACGAAGGCTACAAGAGAAGACAGGCTTCAGTATCAGACAAAGCTTATGGACAAATTTGCCTCTAATCCCCAAAGCTTATTCCGTTATGCAGCCTCGCTTCGTCAAGCCAAAACTGGAGTTTCCCAATTGGTAGGTCTTAACGGCTCGACCAACAACGATGGCGACGCCGCTAACCTTCTGGCTGAACATTACTCCCAGGAATTTCAACTGACCGACATTAACTTTACTGATGACAGTTTCATCTGTAATCACACAGGACTTTCCGAAGTGAACCTAAGCGCTGACCTGGTGTTCCGTAAACTGCAGCACTTAAGATTAGACACTTCTCCTGGCCCGGACATGGTCCATTCTGCCATAATGAGGGAAGCAGCTTCAATCCTGGCAACACCGCTTAGAGAGATGTTCTCACATTCGCTAAGCCGAGGCAACCTACGGGAAAATTGGAGGTTGGCTCACATCACACCAATTTTCAAAGGAGGTCGACGAGGCGAAACTTCAGGTTGCCAACCACTGGCTCTTCTCTCAATACCCTCAAAAATCATGGAGTCCCTGATGTGCGATGGTATGCATGACTATTTACTGTCCTCAAATTTCTTCTCACCCCAACAGAATGGTTTCAGGAAGGGTTACTCTAGTATAATCAACCTGCTGACTGCGGTGAACAGGTGGACAAGCATCCTTGATCACAAAGGGAAGGTTGATATCATCTACCTAGATTTCTCAAAAGCTTTTGATAAGGTTAACCATACATGTCTTACCAATAAGCTCAAACGATTGGGTATCAGACCACCTCTAATCGATTGACTCATTTCATACCTGAAAAATCTACATTTTAAGGTCAGGGTTAATTTCACATTATGTCAGGCTATGGAATGTCCTATTGGGGTTCCCCAGGGCTCAGTACTAGGACCTCTTCTCTCCTTGATCTACATAAATGATCATCCACAACAGGTAACGTCAGACTTATTACTTTTTGCCGACGACGTGAAACTTTGAAGAGAGATACGAAGCCAGGACGAGATGCAGGCACTTCATGAGGATCTGACTTGACTTCAAATTTGGGTAGATGATAACGGATTTACCATTAACACTTCAAAGTGTAAAGTAGTCCATCTGCGACATGTTGCAGACTACAGTTACAACTTAGGAAACTCCGCTCCAGTAGTATCCCAAGTCGAAAATGATTTAGGAGTCCTGGTGCCCTACGATTTAAAGTCTTACGCTAACTGTGACAAAACTGCCTTTTGAGCAAACCTTGCACTGGTAACATTGAAGCGCATTTTTGGCTAGTTTGACGGATGAACTTTCCATATGATCTTCAATAGTTTTATCTGTCCCCATTTAGAGTACGGAAACATAGTATTTCCTCCCTCACTCCAAAAGAATGAGGACACTCTGGAGCGTATCCAACGGCGTGCCACTAAATCAGTTCGAGGACTCAAATTTAAACCTTATGTAGAGCGCCTCCATTCACTCAACCTCTACCCATTAGAGTATAGACGTCTTAATGGTGACCTTCTGATGACTTACAGTATCCTTAACATTTCTGGACATCCTCTCAAATACCTGCTTAGGCTTAGTTCCAACACTAACCAAAAACTGGAGACACAACGTAGCAGAATGGACTGTAGACACAACTTCTACTCCTTAAGAGTTGTCAAATGCTGGAATTCGCTGCTGACTGAACTGGTCCAAGCGACTTCCCAGGAGTCCTTTAAGAGGCAACTTGATCTACTCTTAAGGTCTAAGGATAGCATCGCACTACGATTTACTAATTTATTTTCCTGTTTTATTGCTAACATACCTAGGTTCCTGCCTGGCGGTTTTGGTGATCCCCTGCTACTAGACACGGAAGCCTGTTAAGCGAAAGCTTCTTCTATTCCGTCCACAACCATTTGAACAAATTAAGCTTCAATCACGTTTCGAATTAACGAATTCCATTCGTTGATGATTTGATGAAGAGTCTAAATGGTTCAAATGGTTGTGGACGGAATAAAAGAAGTTTTCGCTTAATGGGCTTCTGTGTATAGTAGCAGTGGATCACCAATACTTCCGGACAGGAACCTGGGCATATTAACGATAATAGAGGAAAAAGAAACAGGTAAATCAAAGCAAGATACAATCCTTAGTCCTTCAGAATAGGTCAAGTTTCCTCTTGAAGGACTCCTGGGAAGTCGCTTGGACTAGCTCAGTCGACAGCAAATTTCAGCATTCTGCAACTGTTAAGGAGTAGAAGTTGTGTCTACAGTCCGTTCTGCTATGTTGTTTCTCCAGTTTCTGGGTTTCATCCCTTAGGGTTTGTGTTGGAGCTAAACCTATGTAGGTGTTTAAGGGTATGTCCAGAAATGTTAAGGATATTGTAAGCCATTAGAAGGTCACCCCTAAAACACCTATACTCTAATGAGTAAAGTTTCAGTAGTTGGAGGTGCTCTTCAAAAGGCTTGAATTTGAGTCCCCAAACCGGTTGCGTGGTACTTTCGTGGCCCTTAATCTGACTCATTCATCGTTATCGACTTGAACATTTCGCCAATTCTCGTATATAATCATCAACTCAAATGGAGCTAGTGAATAACAGAATCAAATAAGTCTCCTATTATGGAGAGAAAAGTCAAAATTCGATTGATTTACTAATTATGAGTTTTATTCAACATTACTTCCATTCCGATTCAATGCAATGATCATTCAGTGTAGTATTTGTTTTCTTTTCTCGTATGATATTTTATTCCGTATAATATACGATATTCTAGCATTTAATTGACATCAACTATGCTCTATGTGTGATTTGTTATAAACTGAGCATTTTATGCATGTGATTTCATCCTAATTACTAATCAAAGTGTGTGTACAATCAATATATACTTACTTGCTTATGCCTGTTACTTCTCGTGAAGGAGCATAGGCCTCCCACAAACACTCTCCATACAACCCTTTTCTGGACAATCCTTTCCGGCTTTTTCCAGTTGCTATTCATCCTTTCCATATCTGCTTTTATTTCCCGACGTAATTTGTTCTTTGACCTTCCTCTTTTCCGCCTTCCTTCAGGATTCCAAGTTGGGGCTTGTCTGGTGATGCAGTTTGACGATTTGCGTAATGTATGTCCTATCCATTTCCATCGTCTTTCCTAATTTCCTCTTCAGTTGGAAGCTGGTTTGTTCTCTCACACAGAAGGCTATTGCTGATGCTATCCGGCCAATGGATGTTGAGTATCTTGCGTAGACAGTTATTTATAAATACTTGTACTTTCTTGATTGTGGTTGTTGTAGTTCTCCATGTTTCAGCTCCGTATAGTAGAACTGCCTTGACACTTGTATTGAAGATTTTCACTTTGATATTGGTTGAAAGTTGTTTTGAGTTGCATATATTGTTCAACTGTAGGAATGCGGCTCTTGCTTTGCCGATCATTGCCTTTACGTCTGCATTTGAACCTCCTTGTTCATCGACGATGCTTCCCAGGTATGTGAAGGATTCTACATCTTCCAGAGTTTCGCCATCAAGTGTGATTAGATTGCTGTTCTCCGTGTTGTATTTGGAGACCTTGGTTTTCCTTTTGTGTATGCTGAGGCCTACTGATGCAGAGACTGCTGCTACACTGGCTGTCTTCATCTGCCTCTGTTCGTGTGTATGCGATAAAAGGGCTAGGTCATCTGCGAAGTCCAAATCGTCTAATTGATTCTGAGCTGTCCATTGTATTCCGTGTTTTCCCTCAGATGTCGAGGTTCTCATAATCCAGTCGACCACCAGAAGAAAGAGGAAGGGAGAGAGTAAACAGCCTTGTCTGACTCCGGTCCTTACTTGGAATGCATCTGTCAGCTGTCCTGCATGCACTACTTTGCACTGTAGTCCGTCGTATGAGTTCTGGATAATATTTACAATCTTCTCAGGAACTCCATAGTGTCAAAGAAGTCTACATAACGTCCTCCTATCTACACTATCAACACTCTGTTCAAGACTTTCCCTGGTACTGACTGCAGTGTGATGCCTCCGTAGTTTCCACATTTGTTCAGATCTCCTTTCTTTGGAGTCTTGATCAGGTGACCTTCTTTCCTGTCCATCAGAACTTGTTCTTCCTCCCAAATCATTTTGAATAGAAGGTGAAGCATGTTCGTAGTCACTTCTATGTGTGACTTCAGTGCCTCAGCTGGTATGTTGTCTGGTCCTGCTGCTT